ACCCGACTGCTCCCAGTTCACTGGGTTAGCTTCTCCTCCCCCACACTCATTGTACTGGGAGCGCAGCCTGTAGTTACATGTGTTGCAGACACTATATTGATTGATTTGTGACTGTTCTGCAACCAGGGATCCAATGACACATAACTCCTGCCTCTGCTGCAAATGGCTTTTGTTAGCCACTGTAGCTCACAGCAGCAGCAGCAACATGTGTCGGTGTGTACATGCCATGAAATGGGAAAAAACTGAGGATTTGTTTATGTAGAGGTTGATTTTTTTTTAACCCCAAAAAACAATAAAACAGTGTTATAGTCACTGGGTCACAGATGCTACTCTGGGTATTTTACATTTTTTACATTTGGTGATTAAAAGGCACCTTATGAAGAAAGCAGCTACATTAAAAAGCCAAAGTAAAACAGCTTCCATCAACGTATAAGCTACAGAACTGCTGCTTATGAATGTGTACTGGTTAGACAAGTGTATCAACAGCACAAGTTCAAAGGATTGAAAATCCCCAAAATCTACTCGCAGGCTTAGCAACAACCTGAAAATGCAAAGGTAGGTAAACACTTTTTCCCCTCGAAAACCAACATCCATTTGTTCACACGAATTAGCAAGAGCAGCAGCTAATGCATGGAGTCAGATTACAACCTCTGAGCAGAGCTGCCTTTATCCCCCTATATGGAGCTTAATCTGTCCAAATCCGCTGCTTTGCTGTGCCCCAAATCCACAACAGAGCCTAATTCCTCTTTAATCTAATGAGCAGTAAAGGTGCACTTACTCTGGTTTGGAATACCGCAGACCGTATATCTTACTGTTGTACCACAACAGAGATAGCTCAGGTCTTCCCTTTCAGGCCATGATGCAATGCATTGTTATCAGAACCATCAAATCTCAAAAAGAAAGAAAAAAAGGAAACCTCACAGGAGATCAGACAAGCACATACATGGCAGGCACCAATAGCTAGTTCGGTTATCTTGCTGCAGCTATGGGAGACATTTCAGGGTTGAGCTGAGTAAGTGGACTGCTGTCAGAAGATTCAAAAGGTGGAGGAGGTGGCCCACCCTCCCTCAGGCTCCTAACCCCAGACTTCTTCGCATGCGAAGGAGGTATGTCAAGGAATTGGAAAGTGGCGGCCCTGATGACTTATGAAACCTAGGAAAGTGACCTACTAACTTTTTTCTCAAGAGTTCAAAAGCAGAAAGCAAAAACTAAATCTTGCAAACTCATTGTCTGGAATAACTCGGGAAAGCTGGCACTGAAACGCAATGCAAGACAGCAGCTGGAGCCTCCCAAACTCCTTTTTGATCGTGCACAGTTAATATATTTTTTTAGATCAAGATGATATTTCCTTCCCAAGATAATTAAACTAGACTTGGTATGAAATTGACAATTTGACATTTAAGTGCCTGCTCTGGAGCATCGGCTCAAGCAACCCACGGGTCAGCTGTCTGACCAATCGCAGCCTTAGATTAACTGCTGCTCTCACACACTCACACGCGCACACAGGAGCAGCTACAATCTGTTTGCTGTCTCATGAGATGAAGAAATACAGACACTCACTGCAACTCTCCTTAAAAAAAAATTACTTGATCACAGAAATGTTGATTAATTACTCACAAACCTACTAACCCAACATTATGTTTAAGCTCCCAGAGAGTGTTTTTTGTATCCCACTACACTTAAGTGAAATAAAAATAATGGCCAAAAGTGCCCCTCTTCTTCTTTTAACGCTTTCAAACGGGTTCTTTCTATTCATTAGTAGCAGCACAACTTAACAGAGTGTAATGTATTTGTCTCATCACAACACATCTCTGCAACTCCAATTTAATTAAGACAATTTGATGCCATCTTTATTGCTTTGTCTCCGTCTCACAAAGCAACAAATCTACGTCCTTACTCCCTCTGAATAAAAATGACTGCTCGCAAGATGAAGAAATTATGTGCCAAACCAAAGTACGAGTGGAAGGTAACACAAACGTCACCGAAAAAAAAATTAAAAATCCCAGTTGAAATTTTAACATTACAAATTACAGACAGAGCAGACTGGCACGGGTTTAAAATTATAAACAACCTCGATGGTTATAAATCACCTGACTTTCTCACAGCAATCCTATTCCCATGCAAACAAACCTGATGACAAGGTTTATGAATTGTAATGAGGAAATATTACTCAGAATGACAACACCTCAAGGAAAATTACTCACGACTGGTAATTTTATAGCTCTGCAATACACAGCGCTTGTACTCGATTAGAAAGAAACACTGTGATGGCACACAGGTCGCTTTATGAGCACGATGCGGCGGGTCTGTGTGCAGGTGATCGCACGTAAGGCGAGGATCAAGTCTGTGGCATTACTTAATGTTCTGTTCTATAAATGACTCGGCTTTCCAGCTGGGATCAGTGGCTGGCATCGCGCCGCTGTCACCACCGCCGTCTCTCCAGCCCACGCATGTCTGAGCATGGGGGCCTCTTCTCAAAAGTCAAATGTCAGATGTTATCCATCCCCAACTCGCAGAGAAGCACCCAGCGCACCGCTGGGGGCTCGGAGGCCCAGTTTCTCGGTCGCTGATGGAAAAACACTATTAGTGCGCTTGCTTTACTTTGGCGTGCTGAGGTTGTCACGACTGCACCATGACAACCATATTACCAACTTTTTATGTGACATTGCTACATCTTTGCTTTATACAGTGCTGGACAAAACTCAGCAATATCAGTATGTAAACAGGGTTTTCAAAATAAAAGACTACATGACTCATTAGTTGATAATGAAAAAGCTTTGCTGTTAATTGTAGCAAAATAAAACAAAAAAATCATGACCACGAATTCTAATAATCAGGATTACCATAAGAGGATAATCCTTATTTAAACTCCACTTAATTAACCGAGCATTAAAAAAATGGTCATCCAGTGATGATCCACCAAGCATTATATACAATATTAAAAAAAACAGCTACAAACACAGTCAAGTCTGTTGAAATATATACTGGAAATTGCTCACGTGTTTATTCCTGCAAGTGATGAAAGCACAAGAAAAATTAAGCAACTTCTCTCGCCTTAGCTGATTAAACTCAATTACTATGCAGTGCTGGCTTTCAGGAGCATTATGATAATGAATTTTGAAAACAGGTGGATGCAAAGCACTTATGATAAGTTGGACTGACACCTTGTAGCACGGCAAGCTAGGCAGCTGAAAACAAATTACTTCACACCTATAGCCTGCAGTTATTTTGGAGGTGCTTTGTACACAGCTAGCGCCTGTGTTGTCATAATACTGATGCATTACCAAAACACTGAGTCCTCGAAACTTGATGAATGAAAAATGAGCAAAATTACTTTGTTGAGCTTGACACAAGGTTTAAAAGTGAGCTGGCCTCCGAGATTAACTGACAGGGCCCTCTAACGTTTAATTGATACATTTCAACCCGATTAATATCCACAGAGCCGAGCATGAAGATCTGGCATCTCCTCTGCATGACAGAGGAAGATGTAGCTTCAGATCCATGCAACAAGACCGGTCACCCAGTGATATTGTTGTCTCTTTAAAACTTATGCTTGTCCCATATATTTTTCATTAGCCTTCAAGTTGGTGGAGACTGTAGGGGTATGATCTCTTGAAATATTCATTACAAAAAGCACCCAAGACATACAGTGACTCTTAACACTCAACCCCTTATTTTTTTGGAGCAAAATGTAGCTACAAAAAAATGGCTGCAGATATATTTGTGAAACGTTTTCTTCTGTTTCAAGTGTCAAGTCCTAAGTCCGAGATTGCAACACGGGAGAGCTGTATTCCTTACTGAGTTGAGCAACCAGGTGCACAACCTCGTCTTTTAACACAGAGTCAACAATCCCAGACCGATTCATTCCAACTTTCTTGCATAAATCTTGACGTTTAATGCTCTGAGATGATCCAATCATTTCAATCGACTGAACTCAACCAGCTAAACTTGAATAAAAATCACTCAACAGTCCCCTTGTGTGTGTGTGTGCGCACACTGTGATCCCTGCACATCCCTGTTGGGCTGGAGCTGCAGAGGATTTTTGGGGGGTTGTAACTAGTGCCAGCAAGCAGGAGTAAACACATTCTGTCATCTCACTTGTGTGGAAAAGCTTTTGTCTTCCAACAAGAGAAAGGAGGAGGGGGGTATTTTTCACTTTGAAGTGCCCACATGCTAACACAAAAATAGGCTTGAATGCTGCAACTTAAGTGTGCTGCCTTTAAGTACACATGAGACGTCAAGTGACACGAAACTGGGCAGGCTGCATTGCTCCTATTTCGAGGGAAGGCTGCCTCGATTATGATCTTTATTGCATTCTTATGGTAGACTGCAAAGGTGGAATGTCAGACGTGTAAACACAGAGTGCAGGAAGAACCACCGTGTGTGACACGAACAAAGCACACGATGAACACCCCCAAATGTGAGATTACAAAATAGACGACATCAAGCAGTATTATGCAATGGAGAGAGGGGAGAGAGAGAGAGAGAGAGAAGAGGAGCCTTGGTATAACTGTTTGACGATGCATGCAAAATGAGGGAAAATCGCCCTTGGGGTTGAATGCAACGGTTTTGCAACATCTGCATGCATACTGTAAACCTGTGCACTATATATGAATCGAAACGCTCATGCATCTGTCACACCGCTGGTAGCATGCTATTCACTAATAATAGGGGGGGAAAAAAACAGCAAAAAAAACCCCGAGTATTTACAGACGAGCGGCTGTACCGCGTCTAACGCCTCGCGCACAGACTGTGACACATTTCATGCTAAATTCTTGCTCTGGTCTACAAACTGGAGTTACCCTGACTTCCTAGTTTACTGCTGCTGTCATAGCTCGGCTAACACCCTTCTTCCTCCCTAGCCAGCAAACAATTTTTTTTCGACTACATTTGCCGCCCGCTGTTGCTGCGACCGTGAATTCTTCAAGTCTGCTTGTGCTGGTCAGACCCAGAGCTGTGGTAGCGTCTCGTTTCAATATGACACGAAAAGCAACACTTACATTTCACCACCCTGTCCGTCGTAGATAACTTCGGTTCATCATTCGGCTTGTTTTCGGACATTTCCAGTGTGATATAAAATTAAGATAGGGCAGAAATGAGACTTAAAACGGTCCCTGCGTTGCTCTGGCCGAACAACTCGTGAGTCTATCCGAGGAAAGAGACCGCAGTGATCTCACTCGGTCCTATCAGCGGCCAAAAATACTTGCAACAGGGTTACAATTTCACTGCTGGTGCTGTAGGAGCAGCTCTGTCTGATTTACTGTTACTCTGTATCAAGTTGTCTCAACGCAGTCTGCACTCAAACGTGCTGACTCGCAAGACCCGCCTCCTGGTGACAGCGGCTTCGCCCATTGGTCGAGAGTGACAGTTTGCCTATGCCCGTACATCCACTTTCATCAAAGGGCTGTTTCTGTGTCAGTCTGGTATTAATAACTGGTATGGATGAATATGAATGTATACACTGGTTAAAGTGCACAAATAAACAGTCCCTAACGATTTAAATTTTAAAAAAAGATAAAAACTGAAACATTCTGTCAACATATTGAAAAGATTGGGGAAACAGCTGGAAATTAGCTCTCAAAAGATTTACACCTGTTTAGCTAGCTTTAAAAATATATTAACAAGTCATTTACACACAAAACAAAACAAAGCAGATTTGAATAATAGTAAAAAAAAGTCTCATTGCATATTGTGACGTAAGTAAAAATTCAGAAGTAAAATATGAGATTATATTATGAGATTATAGCAAAATATTCTCACAGTAACTGAGAAGTAAAGGATTCCTTAATGCTTATATATAAGAGGTTCCCCTGACCTTTCTACATCAGATTCTCCATGTGCATCCTCTTGCAGCAACCCTGGGACAATAAATCAATATTTGCAAAGATAGCATCTGACAAAGTGAAGACAAAGAATTCACCTTTGACCCTTAAAGTGAAAGGTTCTCATGACTTTGTTATGCTCCAGGGTAATGTGGTTGCCAGGTTTGGGTATACATGTTCCCCAGAGGGAACGATCAAAGGAAATCAATATAAAACTGCTCCTATTGATCATTTTAATCATATGAAGAATCTGTTTTATTCTGATGTCAGTAACCCCTCATACAGGTTATGAGGGGCAGTCTTCACAGCGACTGGATCTCAGCCCAGCTGAACACATACGGGAAAGACCTTTTTATACTGATTTTTCTTTATATTTTTCACCTGTCTGTACTTTGCCCTATCTAACAGACACATTTTCTGAAAATAAATTAATTAATTAATTAAAAGAAAATGATAGGAACATTCATTGTTCCATGAAGGTAAACCTTTTTTTTTAATTTCAACTACTCTATGTCTTTCCCACTGGCACCACCCTCAGGACAGGATCTGCAGCTTCACGTATTTGTACACAGTGAGTCATTGATCTGAGGTCAGGTTTAAGGCCATTTTTATTTGACTACATGTTTTTAGGTGCTTGTCGCTTCATTGTCAACTATGTTCAGCTGGGCTTCCTCCAAATGCAGAATAGTTCATACAGAATACAATCGTTTTCTGTTTTAGTGGTTTCATCAGCGTAGTTTGGCAACAAAAAAATAACGATAATAAAAACAAATGAATAAATCTGAGTGAACCAGTCTGGATCTGCGTGTACAGGAACAGGAAGATCTGTGGCCGGTGAGTCACCAGATAGACGGAGCCAGTGATTTGCATGAAGGAGACCTCAACTTTCACCTGCTCATTTTCTCGACTTGTACATTTCAGTCGCCCCTCTAACACTGAAAGGACATAAACGGCTGCAAACTGCTATTAATGAGACACCTGTGTGGTATGAGTCAGTTGTTTGGCAGGTGGAGGCAGTTAATGAAGCCCTAACTTTTACATTTCTCTCAATGAGAAGCTTTGCGCCTGGTAGGTCAGACAATCCTTTTCTTTTTTTAAACTTCTGGCTGTACGGGAGGCATTCACATCAGATCATTAATTTTAACACGCCTCGGGTTCTAACACTTTGTTTTGTACCCAGGCTTAATTAAACTCCGGTCAAGTCTGTGACTCAAGCTCTGCTTGACGATGACCTTTTGTTGGTTTCTGTTTTCCTCTTTCGCTTACCTGAATGCCTACTTTGTCTTTATAAGGGATACCATAAAATTTATTTGGCATGTCTACGATACAACGTGATAAGGTGATACTCAAAAACGCTCCACACAAATTAGATTTTTCAGCATGAAAGATGTAAACAAACACTGACAACAATCTTTTTCATCTTAATGTGCCGCCCTCTTTAGATAATGTTTACTCCATTACCTCAGCATCGTGTTTTATTTATTATTTTATGACTATAAATTTATAACTCCCTTTTACGCACAACACGCCAACTTTTATGGTGTCAGCATCATTTTAAGAGCAAAACTAAACCTCTGATGTCCTTATCTCTTATGGTCTGTTGGGAAATTTCAAATCACGTTAAAGGACAAAAAGTAAAAAGTTGTGTAACTTCTCAATTAGACTAACTTCATAGCGTATATCAAGCAACTATTTATGTATATTTTAAGCAAAACATCAAAGCCTAACTTTTTCCTGGTCATCATAGCTGAGTCTTTGTCTGCTTTGGCACGGAAACAGCCTCTTATCTGCACGCCTCCTGACAATAGCCATCCAGTTACTGTGAAGTCAGCCTTGCACACAAGCAGCACCGCAGACATGAGCCACACAGGTAGGCTACTTTTTCATATTATTTATTAATTAGCCCATTATTACTATTTTATCTTGGATAGTGAAAAATGATTGTGTAGTATGTGATTTTTGTAGTTAATGCTTTTTGATTGATTTTGTTGTCATCACCAGATCAATAATTTCTGTATTTCACTTGTTTTTATATATTTAAATAAACAGGGATTACTTTGGCAGTTTACCTCTATGTGGCTCAGCTCCAGAAAAGTCTAGATAATGTTGTTTCATAAAATACTGAAACCATAACGTTTTTTCTTCATATAGCTGGGGATTTGCTGATCGTCTACGACACTGAGGCAAAGCAATGGGCTACCTACCTACAGTCAGTTTTCACTGGTCCCATCTCAGAGGCTGGGATCTGCTGCTATGACATTGCTGCAGCGACCAGTCCGAAGGGTGATTTCCTGAGGCTCGTCCAGTATACCTGCAAGCTCCTAATCCTTTCCAAGGGCTTGCTGGAGGGTCTTTGCCCGACGAAACGCTTCTTCCTGGGACGCGTGTTGAGTCCTGCGGCTCATGTGGTGGTTCTGCTATGTGGGGTGGAGAGCCTGAACCCCCTGCTAGAGCTGGTGCCTCTGAACGGTGATGAGTGCACGCAGATCTCTAGTGAACAAGACGCCTCTGAGTACCTGTCCACTGTGATGGACACTGTGAGAAAAGGTATGGAATCTTTTTAAAATCACTGACCATATATTGTGTTAGCACCATTGTCTTTAGCCTGGTAGAAGATTATAGGACTTGAGGAATGCTAATATTGGCTAAAGTGCAAAAGAATGGGTAAAAGCAAATCAACCACCTCCTGCAGAGTGGATAATGAGTAAAACTGAACTATTGGTATCTTTTATCATTGCCACCCCATGAGGTCTCTGATCTTATTTCATGAACCAGTCAGGTGTGAAATACCCCGCAACTCTGTCACATCTCATATTTTGAGCTCAACATCATTCCAACTGTTATTCCAGTCTTAACGCTACCTAGTGTTTCTCTAAAAATTATGTTTGAAGTTTAAGGTTTGAATTTGAATTCAAATAGCATGCAAAATATCTCAATGCATGACAGTTAAAAACAAACAGTTAAAAACATGTTTTTTGGCTCAGTGCTGATCTCAGCTTTGAAAACCCGGAACAGCTTTTTCAACCTGCCCTTCCTTTAGGACAAATGTCCTTGCTGTTCCCTTGTAATAAATGCGAGGAGAGACGAGTGCTCGTTATTTGCTAGAATGCCTGAGCAGCTTGGAAACCTGTTTACTCAGTTTTTTTTTTTCATGAGAATTGTGCATTTTGAAGATCCAATATTTGTTAGGAGCAGCTGCAGAGACATCTTTGGTGAAACTGCGTGTATCACTACCATGTCCTCATCTGCCCCGCCAATTATCCTCTGCCTCCTTTCCCGTTTTTTTCCTAATTACACTATTTGTATAAAACCATAAAGTGGAGGAGTGGGCTTCTATTTAAACAGGTGTGGGAGCAGGAGGAACATTTGATGCACATTCAGACACCACTGATTACTCATTGTGAGCCATGCAAATTCAATAGCACTTACAGCATTGCTTCATTGCAGCGGTACAGAGAAGTGGTTCAGAGCGGGAGCCTATAAACAGTTACACTTTAACCCAGAAGCACCTTCACTATTAATGCAGGATGAAGCTGTTTGTTTGTTGACACATGCAACAGACATGTGGGTGTTTGATAAGTGCGTACCCCACGTAAAGTAAGCGTACTTCTTTACTGGTTTCTGTACCTACATGCATCAGCGTCAGGCTGTTTCCAATGAAAAAGGAGAGTTTAGATTTTCTATTTCAAACACATGTGAAATCATCAAATTAAAAACTCTATTTACCATGCTAGGTTAGGTAAGTAAACGACAAGAGAACATCATGTAACCATGGCAGCAGGTCTATCAGTTTCTTCTGAGCACACCGATGTTTTGAGCAAAAGGCTAGCATTAGCATGCTAACATGCTCATACAGTATTTTTGTCCCAGTATTATACCTGACAAAGTATACATGCAGCTGACCTGATAATTGAAGAACTGTCAACTTCTTTGCCATGAGAAAACCTTTGCAGTATGCTTTAGGTCATAAGCCATTCGGCTGAATCTGAGCAGAGAGCATAACCCTGTACACTTCACAAATCCTGCTACTTTTGTCAGCAGTCACATCATCAGTAAACATCATTGCCTTCATTCCCCTGGCAGCCATACAACCAATGTACAGCCTCTGCCAGTTTTTCCAGGTTTTACATGTTAGGACATGACAGCAAATCAACATCAAGTTCTCACCAGGTCTTAAAATTACACCCCACGATTCAACAGCTTTTAGCACCACCTTTAGCAGCTATATTAACTGTTTGCTGTATGTATTTTTCAGTCTCTCAAGTCATTATAGAGGAATTTCGGCACCCTCTTCTTTATAACGTTGCTTCAATTCATTGTGGTTTGTGGGCATTTGTTATGCACAGCTCTCTTAAGGACTCAGCATTTCAATCAGATTTAAGTCTGGAGTGTGACTTGGCCCAGCAGATAGATCCTTTTCTTTATCAACTATTCTGCTGCTCTGCTGGGGATCATTATCCTGTTGTGTAGCTCAGTTTCAGCCAGTT